CGCGAGTATTAGTTGAGGATAAATAGATCATTTTTCTAACCTAATTGTAAGCGTCAAGAATATACAAGCCAGAAGTTACAGGTTTCTCAATCCATTATCAGAATATAATGGAACAACTCAGAACAAAAAAGTCCATATCACAAATTGAGCATTACATCTACGACATAAACGTTGGAAAAGTGCCCCCCTTATTACAAAACCAGTTCCCAACTGAGAGCTGAAGCAGATTTAAAGATACACTCGATCAACTAATAAAAGAAAAGACTAGGCATTCGACTTCTTCTGTCTATATGTCTGCAAAAGCCACTCTCTGGGAATACTCGGGTCTGGCGTATGCGTATCTCAGCTGGACTGTCTGTCACTCTAAATCGACTTACACTGAGAATGGTGTACAATCATGTTGCCATAGCACACGGTTAAGACCTCATAAGAAGAAAAATGTAGAAGGTCGGATGACCAAGTGGATAACCAGATTGCCAACAACAGAAATGACAAAAGATATGCTGCAAGCTGAATTCTACAAACAAAATGTGATCACTACTACTAAATCAGATAATCATAGAGGCCAACACATACAATACAGGATGAGTACTGAGCTATCCTAAAAAAACTCATTGGGTCACATCCTCAAATAAGCAGATGTCTCGCGTATTTTCGGATAACTTACTGTTCATATCCTCTATGCGCATCAAATACGCCGAAACGATTCGGTAAACAGGGACTACACGGGCAATCGATTTCAGCCGTCTGTAGTCCGAGACTCAAGCAAAACTCGCAGTGCAGTGACGAAATGATTTCACTGAGCCACAGTGCGCAACATTATGGCCCAACAGACTACCCTTAGTGCGAAACGATTCACTAGTGCAAGCCTGGAAGTAATCAAATGCATATCTGATCATGGCAACTAGACTTTGCACCCACTCTCTTGTTTTTCTAAGTCAACAACACAAGACCTATAAATAGGTTCTGGTTCACGCTCACTAATTATAGTCAACACAACACCCACACATGTCGCTAAGTCT